CGAGAGGCCGAGCTGAACGAACTCGAAGCATCGTTGAAAGCCCGTGAAGACACGATCACTAGGAGAGAAGGCGCCCTGGAGAAGATCAAGAACAAATACAACGAGTCTATCAAGAAGACCAAGGCCGAATCCAGCGAACAGGTCGAACGCTTGAAGGAGGCTCACCAAGCCGAGCTCGAGAGTCTACGACAAGAGAAGCAGGCCGCTGCCTCGACTCAAAACGCTACCAGTGAAGGGACAACCGAGACTCAATCTGTACCGGATGGCATGATCAACACACAGGATCTACCACGACCTGCAGTCACGGAAGATCAGCTCAGGAAGTGGTTCAAGACCAACAGTGGGGTGTTGGCGGTGGTGAAATCTCAGATTCATATGAACCTCGAGAAGCAAACAGCTGCGAGGGATGAGAAGATCAAGCAGCTCAACGAACAGATCAAGCAGCTCAATACACAGATCGATCAGCTCAAGACTCAGAAGGCTATCGATGGCATTACGGGTGTGAAGCAGGAACCTGAACAACCGAAGGCGGCTGGTTCGGGCGAGGACCTGGCTGCCGTCAACGCTGCTTGGGAGAAGAAGCTGAAGGAGAAGCTCGAGGAACTAGAAGCGAAGCTGACCAAGACGCATGAACTGAAGGCGAAACTCAACGCTTCACAGTTGAAACTGTTCAGAACCAGGTTCAGCTACGTCGAGAAGGCTGCGAAGGAGACGCCGACTGAGGAGGTCGCAAAGGTGTACGCCGTTGCGCTGACCCAGAAGCCTGTGGAAGCCACCAAGCCTGCACAACCCGCCACACCCGCCAAGCCTGCTCCCGCACAAGCTGCACCCAATACATCAACACCAGCACAGCAACAGCCAGCAGCGCCTTCCGCGACCAACGCACCTCAAGCAAACGGCACCAACAACCCTACTCCTACCCAGCCCACCCAGCCCAACCCCTTCCTCCAAGCTGCCGGCCACGGCACCAACCCAAACCCATTCCAGCAAAACCAGAACCAAATGGGACGAGGACTCCCGCAGCCAGGTTTCACAGTCCAAGGCCAAGCCCAGGCTCAACAGCCTCAAGCACAGCAGCACCAGCAGCACCAGCAATCCGGACGCGGCGCAGGAACCGGGGTCCAAGCCCTCCGCGGCACTCTCCAATCCAATATCCCCCGCGGTGGCGGCGGCGCTGGCGGAACCGGCATCCCCATGCCTGGCGGACGCGGACGAGGTCAGAACCAACCGCAGCAACAACAACATCAGCAAGGTCAGCAAGGACAGAACCAGCAGCAACAACAGCAGCAGAATCAAGGTCCAGGTGCATCGCAAATCGGTCGCGGAGGCGGTCGAGGCGGCGGACGCGGTCGCGGTCAACAGAACCAGAATCAGAACCAAGGTCAAAATCAGAGCTCGCCGGCTCGTGGTGGCCTTAACCCCGGTGCTGCGGGCTTTCAACCTGGTCAAGCTGGTCAGGCTGGACGTGGACAGAAGCGTGGGGCTGAGGATGATAGTGAGGGTGCGACGAGAGGGGGGAAGAGGGCGAGGGGTGGTAGGGGGGGTGGTGGTAATGGTGGTGGAGGGCAGGCGGGCGCTGAGTAAGAAACGATATGAGTTCGAGGATGTAAGGGACGAGGATGGATGGGATGAGATGGGGATGCGAGCATATATTTTCTCTTTTGTTCAATGTTTTCAGAGTTTCACGTTCATGGTTATCTTTTTCCCTAGGGATGAAGGATGTATCAAAATGGGTATGTACAGCGAAGTTCATGCATGGGATTAGTAAGGCTCTGGGTATGAGCTTGCGGATTTCTTTCCGAAGATGATTCGAGTGGAGGGAAAGAGAGAAAGGGCATGTGTGTCTGTACTGTATCATACCTAGGTAGCATTGCAGGGTGTTTATGGGAATTTGAGATTGATGTGCGTTCTTAGATTCATGGGGTTTGGGGAGCTGTGTTGTATATGTGTGCTTGTGCGTGCCACCTAGACAATTCAATCATGTTTGGGTGGGTGGGGGAGGCGGAGGGGAGGCGGAGGGGAGGCGGAGGGGAGGTGGAGGGGTGGAGGTGGAGGTCTCGCGACAGTCTTTGTCTGGAGCTACATCCAATACATTGCTCTTGATTTCCCGTCTTCTTACAACTTCCGCGTGGGTGTGCATGGCACCACTGTCACCTAGGCAGTTGATTTAGTTTTCCCGGCTAATGCTACGTCATCCTCCCCATCTTCAACGCCGATCTTCCAAAAGTACCTAGGTAACCCACCAACACCCCGCGGGATAGCCTCCGCATTGTTCCCCACGTGTGCGTCGTCCTGGGTGGGTGGGGGAGGCGGAGGGGAGGCGGGGGAGAGGAGGAGGGGAGGTGGTGGAGGTCTTGTAGGCTTTGCGCTCGAACTTAAAGTCTTATCGCGAGGGACTTAGATGTGTACGTTAGTAGGCAGGTAGTAAAGGTCTCGCACACTATTCGCCTAGACACGATTTACTAGAGTCTTCCCCCGGTTCAAAATGCACCGATCACGCGACAGAACCTGTCAACCCCGGAATCGGCGACCCATGCCAAGCTCCATTTTCTTCAGATAAGCTTCTCGCGCGCTAGTGGTGCCCTCTTTGACGTCCCTTCACTCGCTCACCTATGGAAGCCAAGAAGCTAAGCCTGCCCCCTAAAGCTTGTATAAGAGGAGCCGCGGCAGATAGCAAGACGGGATCTGAGTGGGTGGGTGATGGTTGAATTACCTAGTTGGGCCACGGGTGAATCCGGGGTCTAGAGAAGTGTGGGCGAGCTTGGGTGATCTTCGGAGAAGAAATTGTGGGTTACGTAGGGTGATGGGTGGGTGATCTGCGGCGGATGGGATGGGGTTGGGAGGTTATATGGGGAAGCTTGCGTCTTCTAGAATGGTTCTTCATTTTTGCGCTTCTTACGATATATACGACGAAGTTCAGAGTCGAACATAGTACGGAACACAACCTCATACATACCTGCAACAGCATTACGACATACTAGCCTCAGGCCTCGTCTTCAACAACACGGTTCTGGTCCACACACAACATCCCACGATGTCACCACACTCAACAAAAGACCCGTGTATCCCGTACGGCCGCGGTGGAGCGGGAAACATGCGTACGTCCTGTCCTCCCTCACCTCTTCAACCGCACTAACACCGCCCCAGACCGCCGTTCCTCCATAGCGCACACCTGGGCCAATATCCTCTCTTCTTCCTCCTCAACCGACTCCAACAGAAACCTCGTCCTCACATCCAGCCCCGCCGACCATTACGCCGCGTCGAAAACAGAACGTAGAAGACATTCGAGTTCGAGGTCGGAAGGAGGGAGGAAAATTAGTGTAGAGGGGAGGAGGAGGGCGAGTAGTCTTTGGAGTAGGGAGACGGGTGATACGGGTGGGCATGAGTCGAGATGGGGGAGGTTATTCAAGATGGGGAGAAGAGAGAAGCAACGTACGGATGGGGAGAAGGATGTGGAGGATGAGTAAGAGGGGGAAGTGAGGATGTGAAGGTATAGGATGTTTTTTTTTTTGGTTGAGCGTTATGCTATGCGGAAACATTTCTGCACATCTCTTTAGATGTTTATATTTGTTCCCTTATCTTGACTAGCGAGAAAGATACCAGTTTGTTTATTTATACACAAAACATCCCCTTTCCAACTCCTTCTCATCCAGTCTATTCTCCTCCTCGCTTACCACATCTTTCCCCTCATCCTCCTGCACTTCTTCTACACACACAACAACATCTCTCTTATTTCTTAGCCGTCTACCCATGTGTCCTCGACCGCGACCGCGACCTCGCGCGCGTATCCAAGTGCCCCGTAACCTTGCGCAACCCCGGGACAAGACCCGAAAGCCTCTTGTGATTCCGCATGCTAGACCTGATTTATGATTAACTCGATAGGAGTCGTCGGTGTAGGGAGTGACTGTGTACTCTGGTTCTGCTTTTTCACTGGCGGAATCGTCGCGTCTGATGTAATCTGTGTACGAGGATCTCAAGCAGGCGACAGGCCGAGGGGTTGAATGAGTTGTCGACGACTCGGTAGAGGCGTGGTTGGCGTTGCTGGGACGAAGATGGCTTTCGCTAAAGCGTTTATGGCTTTCACTCGTCCGTGTATAGCTTTCACTCGTGCGTATCCGGTCTTCACTTGAGCGTATGCGGCTTTCGCTCAAGCTTGGGCGGGAGTTTATGAAGGATATCGCATCGCACCGGATAGAAGGGCGGCGAGGAGCCATGGTTGGTCGAGGCGTCATACTTGGGACAGTAAGACTGGTTTGGTGCGTAGTTGGGGGCATGGAGAAGATAACGTGCGGTAAAGAGAGGAAATCATTCATGTTGTACGAACCACCATGCCACATACCCAACCCACATGTTAAATGCCAACTACATCTGCGCAAGGACCACGTCTCGCCATCGAATCAATCTCGATACCAACATATTAATATCTCCGATCTTCGTTTTGACCCGCTGGTTTGGAAATGAACGCGTGCGTGTACGATACACAACATGTCCTTTCACACCGACATACTGGATCATGGCTTCTCTCAACTGCGAACTGACGTGTATTTTTATCTCAAGCGCATTTTAATTCGCCTGTCGAAGGGATCTGCTTCGTCTGTTTCTTCCGCATGCGGTAAAGGCAGACCACATGGCGCACAGTTCTGCCACATTCTTGCATGCAACATGTGAAACAGCAAGGGCGGGCCGTCGATCGTTCACCCTAAGCACGCCAGGCTGCGGGATGTCTTTCACAATACACGTGCGAAACGTTGCGGATCATGTGGCGGTCTGGGTTGGAGTTTCGGTATTTATTGCTGGGTTTGGGGGTTCTTGTGTTGATCGAGATTGGCAGGGTGGTTGATGTTGGCATGGCTTTTCTTTGTTCTCAGCTGTGGACTACTTTCTCAACTTGCGATATGAATGGCTGCTGCTTACAGGACGCGAGTCAGTTGAATTGAAGATGTTGTGACATTGGATTGCTTGCTCATTTACAATCGTGATCTTCAGGTGGCCGTGGCCGCCTACAATGGCATCGCCGCACCGTCACCTCGCAGATCACTACCTCCACTCCAGACCTGCACACCGTCGTCTACGTGTCGCCGGATGATCTGGCCCCGACCAAACATACCGCGTCCGTAGCCGTCCAGTTGCTTGACATTATGGCCAAGTGCTCGCAGCTCTTCTACGACCTTTTGGTCGATACCCTCTTCCAAGTAAATCGTCGCGTCAGTCATCTTGCCGTCAGCGCTAGGCATTCCGGCTCCGATGCAGAAGCGTGGTGAATCTAGCGCAGCTTGCGGGTTGAGTTTGAAGACTTCTTGGTTGAGGAGCACCTGTACATGACCCTGAGGTTGCATGAAACCACCCATGACGCCGTACACGGAGTGCAGACTACCATCGTTGATGTATGTTGTCAGGCCAGGGATGATAGTGTGGTATGGTCGCTTTCTCGGGGCCAGAACATTCGGGTGGTCTTTGTCGAGACTGAAGTTTGCACCTCGGTTTTGCAGTGTGAAACCGCAGCCTTTGGGAATGATGGCAGTACCAAATCCGCCATAGTTACTGTTAATGAAGGAGATGGCGTTTCCTTCGGGGTCAGAACAGCAGAAGTAGACAGTGTCGCTTTGCAGATGCGCTGGAGAACCATGGACAGGCGCTGAGATGGCCTTCTTTTGGTCGAATAGTTTCGCTCGCTCAGCAAGATACTCTTCCGAGATAAGCTCGGCAGATGGCACTTTGACGACGTTCGGGTCTGTGACGAACCAATGGGCATCACAGAAGGCGATGCGCAATGCTTCGATGACGGTGTGAAGATATTGCGTGCTGTTGTGGTCGTTGAGGCTCCACTTTGGAATCTTCTTCTGCTTCTCAAGTTCCTGGATGATGCCGAGGGCCATCAATGCGACGATTCCTTGGCCGTTTGGTGGATGTTCCCATAGCTCGATACCGCCGTCTGGTCGCTCTCCAACACCTTGGCCTGTGTACTTCAGCGAGATGGGGTCGACTGGTTCCGTCCCGGTCTCCGCGTGGTGTTTGAGATCGCCTAGAGTGAGATAGCCACCGAGATCTTGCACTACTTTTACGAGCTGCTCGGCTACTTCGCCCTCGTAGAATCCTTTCTTTCCGTGCTTGGCCAGCAGTTTGAAGGTGTTGCCCATGGTGGGGTTCTTCATGATTTCTCCAGCTTTGGGCGCTCTGCCATCCTTGAGCATCTCGCGCCCGTTGGGCGATGCTTTCAAGAGGTCCTTTTCGCTCGCTGCCCACTGCAAAATGTCAGAATGTCACCTGTTCATGAAGCGTTGCAAAACTTACGAATGTTGCTGATAACTCGGAGACTGGGAAACCGTTCTCCGCGAGATCGATGGCGGGCGCGAGCACGTCCTCCATGCTGACCTTTCCACTACCAAATCGCTCAACACAGTCGACCCATCCCGCTGCTGCGCCAGGCACTGTCGCGGCATGTACATGGTCCATGGGAATCTGGCCGCTCTGGCCTTCTGCGATGTTGAGGTCTTTCCTGACCTTGTCGAGAGTGACATTCGCGCCACTCCGGCCGGAACCGTTCATGGCAGATACCTTCTTCGTCTTCGCATCGTAGTACAGACAGAACATATCACCGCCGATGCCCGTTGAGCCCGGCTCTGTGACATTGATGGCTGCCGCAACGGCCACAGCAGCATCCTTTGCAGCGTTAGTATGTGATGGAAGTGGTGATGGATTACGTCATACTGCCGCGTTACCACCTTTCCTCAGGATCTCAATTCCAGCAGCGGCTGCAAGTGGTTGCGTACATGACACGATACCTTTGGTACTGTGTACAACTGAACGGCGGCTGGGGAAATGGACGAATTGAGGCTCGGGGTGTGGGTAGACATTGCGAGTATTCGAAGTTGTATTGTTATCCATGGCGACTTTGGCGACTTTGGCGGGTCGTTCTTGCTCAGGCTCTTGTTGGGCTTTGGACCTCTTGCTTCGTCGTGGGGTAGGCATGGGGACTTGAACTGTGAAGCTTGGAGCTATGAGTGGGGTACGGGCAAGCTGCGATGGTATACCTAGGTACCTAAGTAGTCTCCAACGGTTATCCCCGGAGATGGTTGATGCCGTTCAATGAGCCGATTTCGCTCGATAATCCCTCGGGACATATCGCAGCGTCCCCGCCTATCTCCATGACCTCTCCACAACAGGAAGGTGGTAAGGCGGTGTAGTCCGCTTTAATCTGCCGGGGTGAGGGTTATCATCACGTGCACACGTTCCGAACCGATCGGAACGCGCATTGGACATGGAGAAATTCACAGATTGGAGCTTGAGGCAACTCGACGATGCTCACAACGTCATGGATATGCCGCAATTGCCTGTCGCGCATTGCTCGTCCATTGATAAATCGCAGTATTCGGCTGCAGAGTAGTGGTATGTCCTGAACCTGTCCAGTTTGGCCCAGTCGCTAATATTGCATAGCTGCGACATCCGAGTCTATACCCCCAGCCCTCCTTACAAGAGCCCGCGCAATTGTTTCCGAGCACAAGGAACTGACAGAGAAGCTTTCGAATGGCTTTGACACACGTGCGGCGAAGAAGCTCGGCGAATACAGCTCGATCGTGAATGCGTTGGGTGAGTGGGATAAGGCCAACGAGGTAAGCAGGATATCGCAACCAGCAGGAGCGCTTCAGTAGCTGATATGGACTAAGTCTGTGACAGAGCTCACCTCGATGATACACGACTCCTCGACCGATCCCGAACTACGATCACTCGCTTCCGACGACCTTGGAGAAACCCGAACACAGCTCGCCAATGCTTCACAGAACCTCATCACCTCTCTGGTGCCGGTACACCCATTTGCACACCTACCATGTCTTCTGGAAATACGGCCTGGCGCAGGCGGATCAGAGGCAGCTATATTTGCGGGGGACCTCTTCCGCATGTACTCAGCCTTCTGCAACCGCAATGGCTTTCGCACAAATCTTCTCAAGTATGAGAACATAAACGGCACAACTGAAGCGGGTGTACCGCTATCAGAAGCCATCATCGAGGTGGAGAACGATGGCGCATATGGCGTCTTCCGATGCGAAGCAGGCGTGCACAGGGTGCAGCGCGTGCCCGCTACTGAGGCCAAAGGACGCACACACACGAGCGCGGCGTCCGTACACGTGCTACCTAGTGTACAAGAGAACTCTGCAGAAGAGCAGGACTTCGAAGACCCTGAAAGCGACTACTACATCGACGTGAAAGAGGTCAAACTAGAAGTCATGAGGGCAAGCGGTGCCGGTGGCCAGCACGTCAACAAGACCGAGTCAGCAGTTCGGCTAACGCATATTCCCACAAACACGGTCGTCGCGATGCAAGATTCTAGATCCCAGCACAAGAACAAAGAGAAGGCTTGGGCGCTTCTGCGCTCGCGTATTGCCCAGTCAAGACGCGAGAAACGCGAAGAGGAGATGGCCAACATGCGACGAAGCGTTATTGGCGTGGCGAAGATGGGCCGCGGTGACAAGGTGCGGACTTACAACTGGGGTCAGCAGCGGGTCACCGACCATAGGAGTGGAACTACCGTGCATGATTTAGATGATGTGATGGGTGGTGGCCAGACGCTTGAAAAGGTCATGAAGAGTGTCCGCAGCTGGCTCATGGAGCGAGATGTTGAAGCCTTGATCGCGGATGATGCTGGATCGAAGGACAAGAAGTGAGGTGCAGAGGTATGTCCGGACAGAGATGATCTTTCTCATCCGGCATCCGTATTGCACAAAATGTACGAAAATCACCTGGAGAGCAAGCCCGTGCAACTACATCGCCGGACCAGCGCTCAACAAAAAGCAGGGCCCTCCACATAGACGTATGCTGTCGGATGCATTCATGCGAACTGTCCGACCCGCACCACCGGAATCGCGAATTCAAATGGTTTCAATCGAGCTACACCCAGTACTTGTTTTCATCTTTGTTTGCAACGTGACTGCGGCAGCATTCATCAGAAGGCCCATTCTGTCTGACTGAACAGTATAGTCGTCCAATGAATACTTCGTCTGGTGGATAAAATAGGCTTGTGAACCGCATATAGGCTACTCAGAACCCCGCCGGGGTCACATTACCCTATGTACGCCATCTTTACCACAACGCAACCTGCACACCAAATCCGATCTATCCAGGCCCGCCACCAAAAACAAAAAGCTCGTAGCTGAGCCGCTCGCCAAGTCCATAGGGCCCGATTCCCACACTGCGGGGTACATGGAACCTTTTCCCGGCAAGATGCTAGCCACAAAGGCCTCTTCCTCACGATGTCGCTACAATCGAGTCAGTCTAACCATGCGCCACTTTCGATCCAAAATGGGCCCAGATCGTCACATTGCTGAAACGTTCGTCAATTCCCCGCACTCAGTAGCTGCAACTACCCCAGGTTTCGCTTATACTAGTCGCTGGAAACTGTACGAGTGGGTCGAATGTGGGCTTGGTACGCGCCTACTGGATCGCTACATGAAGTTGACTGCATCTTTGAGAGGCCAAGGTGAACTGATAGGAAGACGTTTTCAGGAATGTGGGGTGCGTTTGGTATCGGGATGTGGGAGGGATTGGAGATATAGGATAGTTATTATCCCGTTACTGGGGGTAGACAGTTGCAAGCACCTTGTCTCCTCCTTTCAAAGTCGCAGTACTGAATCAACAGAATTCTTTTACTCAGCTCGCTATATCATGGCTTCAGATACCATCCAACCCGACTACGAAAAGGAGAAGCAACAAGTCAGTCATCACATCGAACATGCAAACCCGCATCATGGTACAGACTTGTCGCTGGAATCACAGCATGACCAAACAGACCAAATCGTGGATATGAACAATGCCCACGCGCTCAAAGGAGACGACTCAGACGGCAAGGTAGAATGGAGTGTGCGCAGCATCTTCGCTGCCATCTTCCTCGCCGCCCTATACACTGGTACAACCACCCCTCCTCATCCCATCCCATCCCCAACCCGAACTAACTACCCCACCTCAGGCTCCCAAGTAATCCTCTACTTCGCCGGCGCCTCCCTCTCCTTCATCGAAGCCGATCTCAATCTCGACCGCGGCTCAGCCTGGCTGCCCACCGCCAACATCCTCGCCATCGCCGCCGTATGCCCCTATGCAGGCTACCTGCAAGACCTCTTCGGGAAACGCTACATCGCACTCTTTGGCTCCTTTTGCATCTGCCTCGGGTGTGCGTTGATGGGCAGTGGACAGAATTTCGGACAGCTGTTGGCTGGCATGGCGATTTCGGGGGCGGGGGCTGCGACGGGGGAGTTGACTGGTCTTGCTGGGTATGTTGTGTTCTTTCTTCCCTTTCGTCTGTTGTCTTCTGTTCTAGTTTCTTCATCCACTGGTTCAGTTGCCACGACCGCTAGTTATATCAATCCCTACTAACAAACACCCCACCCCAGCCTCGCAGAAGTCGTCCCCATAAAACACCGCGGCTACTCCCTCGCCCTCGTAACCGCCTTCGTCCTCCCCTTCTGCCCCTACCTCCTCTACGTAGAACTCTGGTCCCACTCCACCAGTGGGCCAGGTTGGCGCTGGGGCCCCTGGGTCGCCCTAATCTTCAACGCAATCGTCGGCATCGGCCTCGCCCTAACCTACTTCCCCCAGCGCCACACCAACAACGACCCTTCCTACTCCCGAAAAGCGATCTTGCAAAGAATAGACTATGTGGGTGGTGTACTCTCCATAACAGGCCTAACCCTCTTCCTCGTCGCCCTCCAATCAGGCGGCTACACCCACCCCTGGACCTCCGCATACGTCCTATGTACCATGCTCATCGGCCTTGTCCTAATCGCCCTCTGGGTCCTCTGGGAATCAAAATACGCAGCACACCCCATGGTCCCCTCTGCCCTATTCTCTGGGCAAAGGATAGTGGGGCTGGCGTATGTCGTTGCGTTTAGCGCCGGAATGAATTTCTTCAGCATACTTAACTTCTTTCCCGTTACGTTCAGTAGTGTTTACACACCCGATCCTGTGTCTATTGGACTGAGGGGCTTGGGACCCGCGCTTACGACGGCGGTGGGGGCAATCTTTTTTAATGCGGCACTGAGTGCGTTTCCGGGGCATACGAGGGAGGTGTTGCTGCTGGCTGTGGGGATTATGACAAGTTTTGCTGGGGCGCTGGCGGTTATGACGCCAGACAACGAACGCCTCGTTCTTTTTCTAGGATCCATGGCTGGCTTCGGTGTAGGCGGCGTTCTTGTCCCCGCTGCGACGGTTGCGATGCTCGTTTGTCCGGATGCGCTTATCACGACGGCTGCGGCGTTGTCGCTGTCGATTCGCACGGTTGGCGGCAGTATCGGGTATTCTATTTACTACAACATTTTTGCTGGGAAACTGACGAACAATCTACCCAAGTACACGGCAATGTATGCGGTGCAAGCTGGGTTGCCGCTGGAGAGTGTGGAGGCTTTCGTGGGCTTGTTTCTTACGGAGCCGGAGAAGTTGGCGGAGGCGGGTATTCCGGGTGTTACGCCGCAGGTTATTGAGAGTGCGACGATTGGGACGAGGTGGGCGTATAGTGAGAGTTTGAAGTATGTTTGGGTAAGTTGGACTTCTTCCCGCTGACTGCTAAGATACCACAGAGCTAACGTTGATGGGCATCTAGTTTACGAGTATCGCCTTCGGCAGCATAGCAATAATCTGCACGCTCCTCCTCCCCAGCACAAGGAAGTACCAGACGAACCGGGTGGCAGTACGGATCTGAGATATCGTCATGTGTCTACTTTCAGAATACTTTGGTCCACCTACGGATCCTTTCCTTCATGGTTAGCTCCATTTACAGCACAATACAATCGAACTACACATACACACACACACACACAGATCAAGACTTTGCACCACTGAATCATCACATCATACAACGACAGAGCACGGAACGAATGGGCGTAGACAAACATCCTCATGCAAGGTATTCAAAGATAATGAATCTATGGTATAAAGTGGGTTTCTACTCCAACAGTAGTACGCAAAGCAAGCGATAGAGAAAAGCC